TAATTCGTCATTCATAGAAGAACCTGTTTATTCATGAAAAACTGAACAAGGTGCTGATTTACAGCCTCATCTGAATTGAACATTATACCACGCAAGGAGTTTTGAAGAGAGCAAAACAAGTGGAAGTCTGACAGCGTAAGGGCAGGCAAGTATGGTGGGTGTGGCAACACATCCCATCCAAGCTCCGATAATTTTTGACGGGTGATCAAACTTGTGTGTGGTCTCACGTCATGATGGAACACAACTCCTTTACAATTAACAAGCTCTGGATGTTTCTGGATGATAGATTTGTTCAAACTGTCCAATTGCCGACAGTACACATTTGAATTGATTGTTTGGTTCCTTGGTAGGAGCTCAAAATATACGACACCTTTGCAATCCCACAACACTGAGAGCATAACCTTCATCTGATGAATGTCTGCTTTTGTGTCGTTTGAGGAGAATCATCATGTTGGGACCAAGACCGTTTGTGCACCACATTGTTGTCAACAATCTACTTCTCATCACCAGTTATCAGTCGCTTCAAAAAAGGATTGTTTTCCTCACGTTTAATGAGTATATTGCACATGTTTATAGCCCCGCCAAATGAACTTCTTTTGAGTTCATGCGGAACCCAAATATCAAGCTTCTTAACGTATCCCAGCTTCTTCAGGTGGTTGTGAACGCTTGAATGATGGATGTTCAATGTTTCTGCAATCTCCCGTGTCGTGTAACATGGGTTTGACTTGTTCAATGCCTTTATTTTGTCGTCATCAACCTCAGTGGGCCTCCCTAACCGAGGAGCGTCGTTGAGATCAAAATCACCAGCACGGAATTTCATGAACCATTGTTGGCACTGATGTGCTTGTAGAGCATTGTCACCATAAACTTTATGCAACTTTTCACAAACTTGATGTAGGTAAACCCTTTATGGAAGTAAAACAGTAAAATATGGCAAAAACGCAGTTTGGTCTTCCATCTTCAACTTGTAAAATCTCCAAAACTCAACCAAATCGCTCAACTTTTTTTTTTAGAATGAAGCTAGAACTGTCAGCTGTCAAATAACATAGCAATAACATAGATGAGAATGACTCTAGTACTTCCAAAAGTGAACTAGTGCCATCTGTTGCAAACATACTTCATGACTTTTCCGAAGACCCAATACATTTCTAAAGGGCAAGTACCATGTCTCTTTTTCTTTCCAGCCTAGTAAACTGTCAATGTTCAATGAGCAATTAATTTAACCTTTGGGTACTTCATATTTTCCAACTGCTTTGAAATTATAAGTTATTTATCTTAATAGTTGTTGCATTATAGCCGATTCCGTTACCCCCCCCACCCCCGCATTAGCCTCTGACCCATTAGTCGAGAGAGTGTCTCGGAAAACTGAGGCCGGATGGAATGATATCTGTAAAGCTCGATATCTGTAAAGCTCTCTCGGGGAGTGTCTCAGGTGACTGGGACCTATTGGAATGATAATAGTTATCTCCCCTGGGAGGACACAGTAACAAAGTGTCTTGGGGCCATGTGGCAGAAGTGTGAAGGCATAGGATTTGCAGTGACACAATGGGAATGTTAATGGAAAAGGTCTTAAGGCACATAAGTCACACGGTTGCAAATTGATTGACAGCAGTTTCACTTCTTTACAAACTACTCAATAAAAGCCATGTGCTGACCCGATTCGGGGCTCACTCAGTCTTCTCAGGCTGAGTCCCTTGGTCTCGCTCTTAATATTACTTTTGTCTCTTGCTCTTATTCAATCTGCGTCGCCCCTTAAGAGAAACCTATTTGCCCTTGCCACGCTGGACGTGACAAATAGTAATATCTCTCTAAAAGAATCAAGTGAAATAATGAACTTTCAAGTGAAATATCAAAAAAGAAACTCAGATGACAATGGAAAACCAACTTCTCATGCATAATAACTAATTTAAAGATGATTATTCCTAAATGGAGTCTACCTTTATCACATTTTAAAATCATTTATATAATTATTAGTATGACTTATTGTATACTATTATTGAATATAATCACTTAAATGTAGATTTGAATTTTTGAACAAGTTTTAAGGCTATTATCAAATACTTTAACTCAATCTAAAGGCATTTATAATTCAATAAAACTACTATATTTTTCTTTTAGGGTTAACATAAAAAAATGGTTTACTCAGCCATATTATTTATTAAGCAAATTACAAGTTCTTGATAACAAGGTTAATTGTTAACCTTTAAAAAGAGATTTCTTGAAATACTGGGTGTATTTAATTTTAGACTGTGAGTCAACAGGGAGGCAAAAGAATAGATAAACTATGTATGGCATTTTAAAATGTAACTCCAACTGACTAACAGATAACAAAGAATGGATCATTCTAGAATAAAGACTTCCTGATAAGCTCTCTAGTTATTTTTTGGCACTCCACCACAAAGTTAACAGCTACTCTAGAAACTTGGAATTATCACCCATCTACAAGAAAGAAAAAAAGAAAAATTCTCTGGGAAACTAAAAAAAAAACACCTGATCACATTCTCAAACCTAATGTCTCCTCTAACTTGTATGGTTGCAATGACTGGTTTACTCTAAAATCAATCCCAGCCATGTTTTTCTGATTGCTAACTATTCTTTTCCTCACTTACAGGGAAACCAGGAGAAATAAAATTCGCAGAAGATATTTACATAATTTTATGGCAGAAGAGGCAAATACATCATTAGCCAGAGAAGAATAAAACTGGAAAAACTTTTAAAAAGCGCTTTAGCTTCACACAAGGGTCTGATTAATAAAAACTGGATGTTTTCAATAAGAACTTCTTTTTAAAAGTATGTGAGCCTGGCCTAAAAATTTTTAGTTACCTGTTTTCTACTGACTTACACAGTATGTTCAGACACCTGTGTTTCATTCCTTAATCATCAGTTTTGAAACAGAATATAAAACTCTTGCATATCCTCTACTTTGCCCTTTCTCAAAGGCAGTAATATGAACTGATCTCAAATAAAGCACTTACATGAATAAGTAAGGCCATTTAAAATCCTATATTTAATATAAATAATCATACCCAATGCATGTGGTTTGAGGGTTTCATATTTAAGGAGAAAAGTGTCATCGTTAATAAGTGTTTAACAAACTTTACTAGATATTTCCCAAGAGGCTTGACAGACTCAGAAACACCTGGCAATCTGGATGAAGAAAATTCCAAAGTTACACACTGAGAAGGTATATTAATGATTTCAAATATTTCAATTTCAACTTTCCCCATAAAAAAAATTTTCTTCTCAGTTCTGCTCTGAACAGTGAAACCAATGAACATATTTGTGATATACTCTAAAGAAGTGAGATCAGCTAAGAACTTAGCCTACAGATTAATAATGCCAGAAGTAAAAATGTTACACAAAGCATTTTTATTTCAATGGCAAAGAAAAGGGAATAGAAGGAACTGACTTCAAGTATTAAAAGGCAAAAAGCTGGCTTTTAATAGTTTGTTTTGGCTACAATAGTCACAAAAGGTTTAAAATCCAAAGTCTGTAGTCTCAGGTCACTTTTAAAATCTCAACGACATCCCCATTCCCACCCACTAGCATCATTACAGATACACTGGTAACGTGATGAAAGAAGGCAGGAAGAGTCCTGATGTCAAAAATTTAAAAACCTTATGATCCAGGCTTACATAACAAGGAAAAGAACCACTGTAGCTCTCTTCCCAGAGCATGCAAAGAGTAAATAGGTCCCTTCAATTCTTGTCCATCCCACATCTACAGGGGAACCTCACCCCATTCTTTGACAACCAACCTCCCATATTCCAACATAGCCCATGGTTCTTTCCTCATTTTTCCTGCGCCTATCTATTTTCTTCCCTTCATTCTATTTCTAACCAATTTAATTTTTGTTGAATGATAGCTTTTCTCTCCAAATTCCCTAATCTTCTCTCTTTTCCTTCTGTTTTTTCCATTTACATATCTGGGTTTCTAATTCCATTTTGTTTGCGTGTGTTGGGGGGTGATACACATTCTGGTTAATCAAAGAAATTGTATGTTGAAATGGTAAAAAAAGTTAAAGAACTGAATGTGGCCCCTTTAATTTCCCTAACATATCATCTGCATGATATATGCCTATTTCCTAGTAATGCTAATGTTGCCCCTCATTCATGAGAGTTGAAAGAGATTCATTATTCATAAATTAATTTACCCCAATAAAAATGAGTTGATAAATGATTGAATATATGGACTCAAACAGGGCTAACATCTAAATCAGCATCTTCCAATGTTTGTTTCTTAAAAGTAGTCCAAAAAGGTATTTCACACATAAAAAATAATGGTTTCATGGTCAAATCACAAAGGCTGTTAAAGAGTCTAAGAAATTCTAAATTGAAGAAACTTGCTTAATTTTATCAGCCAGCTATTCCCCAACTTAAGCAAATGAACCCTTTTTTCCACAACACCTGTTAATATCCCACAGAAGATACATTTAGGAAATATTAATCCTAACGACTGATAAAATATACCATGCGAAGTATTATATTTAATCTTACAGTCTAAATAGTTTTAAAATGCTACTATCTTTTGAAAAACCAAAACTTAATAAACACAGAAAATAATTACCAAGTTGCTAGGTCAAAGTGACTGACTTTAAATATCCCATGTATACCTTACCTAGGTTCATTTAAAATTTAGGCTATAATGACCACTTGTGACTTTGTTTTGAAAGGGGGAAATGAAGAGCAAAATTTTCTTTAAAGTCAATGGTATCATATGGAATATAATCTTTTACAACTATTAAGACCTAAGACTCTTCTCATTTTTCATTCATTCATTTTCATGTTTAATCTATTTCTCAAGTGGGAGAAAAGAATGGGATTTTATGACTTACAAAACCTAATGAATACACAGGCATGTAATATACAGCCTTTTCTGAAGGTATATCATACAATAAAAAATTTTTAAATGAAAATGTGTCAATTTTCTCTTCCAGGTGTACCAGGAATGATTTACTTCACAGGTTTTAAAAAGCATATTTTAGTGTATAAACATTTTACCTGAAAGCTCCGTAAAGTGGTCTGTACCAACAGACAAACGAACAAGGAGTAAAAAGCAAGAACCACAGGATACTCAATCCAAAATCAACCCCTCGTGTAGGATCAACACAAAACCAAGCCAAGCATCCGAAGATATTTAGAAACAGTGTTACAGCGTGGACTGTGGAATCAGAAAACAAAACAGAAAACAAAGGTTTACATTCATTTTATGAGTTCATTCAAAAGGTTATAGATGAAAAAAATACTTCCTAAGAGCAAATGTATTCTACGCAATTTTCAAAACATTGCTGTTCTTACACATTTGAGTTGAAAACAGAGTAATCACAGGAAAAGGAGTCCTAATACACACTGGCAAAAATTCTTTTGGCCCTCTCCTAATGAGCAATTACACAGCTAAACCAGAGAAGCACTACCATCAGGTCTTCTTCCCTAAGAAGGAAACATGTGATGTGTCCCTTGATCCAAAGCCCAAGAGGAAAAGTAGTGCCTGCCAAGAGAAAAACCAGGACTTAGGAGGAAAAAGGTCCTCACTCTGAACTGTATTTTTACAGAGTAAGAAAACTGGAGAAGCGTCCTGTGCGATCTCATTATAACATTTTTAAGCAATAAAATTAATTAAAATCATTGGACTACAAATATTAATACATAGAAATTTCCAGTGACTATGTAGTCAGTCTATGAAAATTATTAATTCAACTTCATCAAGTTGTCCATTTTCTAAAGTCCTGAGATAAAAAACAGCCTTTTGGTAGAGGATTAAACTTATTTTAAAAAAAATAAAAAATTTAAACAAGTACACCATGACGCATTTCAGCTCCTTTGGCAGACCTTTCTTTTTAGTTAGCACAACTATTGTAGATCTTGGCAAACTCTTCATATGTGTTAATAATTACTTTCCCTGACAGACCAAAACCAAAAAATCTGAGTAACACTTAACTACACTATGATCCTAATGAATCACATTTATCCATTATAATTAATAGTTTTTAAAAAGGATTTTCAAAAACTTATTCACAAGCTGAATTTATTATAGGAAATAAATTCTTTCAAAAGTTAATAGTTTTCAATGTAAATCACCAATACAATAAAAATATACCAACTAACTACTTGAATTAAAAATAACAAATGGAAAACCTAGTGAACCCAAATAAAAAAATCTCAACGTACATTAAACACAAAGCTTTAAAATCTTTAAATTATTAATCAAATAAAATTAATAATTACTGAAACAGGACAAAAACACACATTCTAATTCTATGATGCCTCATCTAACTTGCTCTCACCAAACAACTAGATAAATACACAATCTCTACAGTAGGAGGAAAAACTCCAGAGGAAAACACCTAGGTTATAGCGATACAATACTATTGAGCTAATCAACCTCTGTGTGTTTCAATTTTTCAGCAGAAGCTCTTCCACCTTTAAAATTCTGTTCCATTCTATTATTCAAGAATGACTCCTCCTAATTACTTTACTCCCGTTAGGACTTCTAATTCTCATAAAAGCTAGTTTACTAATATTTACTCAAAATCTTTTGCCTCAAAATAAAAGTAGTTCTGTTAAGGGCTTAAAAACAGAATCAAAAAGATTCTGAGATAGAAAATTATTACTCTATAACATTAAATGGCATCTAACTGTCTAAAAAAGATTTAAATGTTCAGAACATTCTAATTCAAATTTCAACCTTTGGAGAAATAATTTTTGAAGAAGTATTTGTTCCAGGAAATGCTTCTTCAAATCAGAACCTTAATTGGAATCTTGAGCCCTCTTTGAATAGAGTTAACAGATCTGCCAAATGAACAGGATTAGGAAAAACTATAGCCAACTATATTATTTCTAATAACCTCAGAAAGTCATATATTTATAAGATAAAACAGATCTATTTTAAAACAATCAGCATTGGTAAAGCAGTTAAATCATTCAATTAAAATTAATCATTTTCCCCATTTAACCTCTATTTACTAATTCTTTACTGAATTTTCTTCCACCCCCATTTCCGCCACCAAAAGCAGGTTTTTCACTAAGTCAAAGAACTTATACATAAAATTCTAGGCCAATTTTTGCCCATTAAAATAAAGTTATTACATATATGCATATATATGATTATATTGATTAAATATGAGTTGGTTAGCAAGCACATACATGGAATCAAAACCTTTAATATTATAGACTAAAATATAGACTACTACTGACACTGGAGATTCAGCAAAAGATATTAGATCGACAACAAAATCTCAAAAAGAAACTAGAAATAAGAGTTAAAATGTCCTATCTATAGGGAAACATTTCTCACATTCCAGGGCAACTTCACATATATGAAAATTTTTTTAAAAAATTTTCTCATATATTTAGAGAGCAAAAAAAGGCCCACAAATCACACAGTAGAAATACAGAGTTTCCTCCATCAAGAATTCACCCTACAAACTATCCATTAACGCAGAGGTTGTGCAGGTGAGAAGTTGTGACAGCTACCTCCTACTAACATGGCAATATTAAATGGGGCCAGCACTACTGTTTGGAATAAAAATGAAACACACAATAAGTGCAAATTCTGTGTACATACAGCAAACTATTAACAGCTTGACATTTTATTTTAGTATTCCATGAGTTGTACTTCAACTAAAAGCAATGTGAGCATCATAGCCTAAGCTGTATGTCCTAATGTCCTATTCAATTAAACATCCTATATTAGGTACTTTCAATAATAAAAGTATTCATCCCCACTTGAAAGTGAAGTGTAAACTGTGCTCAAAGCTAAAAGAAACATTAGTTTATATTATTACAATATTTTATGTCCCTTTTAAAAAATAGTCATAATGCTTTAATAGAATTAATGGCCTTCATTTGCATAAAAATAGTATGCATAATTTTTTTCAGAGCAAATATCGCCTAGACAAGATTTTCCAAGTAATTGTAAAATTCTACCCATGTGACAGAGAAGTCCTTTCCTCAAAAGAATGCCCGTTCTCAAAATATATGTTTTCCTCAGCTGAGAACTTAGATTGTCACATATAGCACAATTTTGAAGTGCGTACCTAAATATGTTTCATTATGAAAATTAAAAGATCTATAGGGAAAGACGGGTTAACAATACTATCCTTAATATATGAATTCCAATAAAAGGTGCATTCTGACAATACAATATAAACTCTGTGTAATAAACATACAATTTACTCTATACTTACACATCCACAAGTAGTACATAATTTTTACTGTCTTTTGGAACTCTACAGGAATGTCTACAGAAAAATCCTGATAGAAACAAGGTCCCACAGGGAAACTGCCAGGAAGAGGTGGCCAATTATTTTTTCTGCCTGCAAATTAAAAAACAAAAAAGTTATTTATACTAGGACAAATATGTGATATTTTTTCTTTTTGGTTTCATAATAAAGCACATTATCTATTCTTTTAATAGATCTTTTACAAATATAACACTGTATCTCTATATTCCTAGAGAACTTTGAGAGCCAAGCTTTGTATCTTTTAAAATTTTTCCCAGAATCACTTTAGTAAACATCAGATGGGAAAATGACTTTCCAGTGTCATATCATATAATATTTATCAGGAACCATTTATTTACAGTTGAAATAAGAAAAAAAAAGAAAAGAAAAGCACAGGCAAGACATACCCTGTAACTGCCCTAAAATCAAATTTATTTCATAGTCCCAAGAGTCTGGGTCACACATGATGGCCATGCAGTTTTTAAATCTCTACAATTTCCTCCTCAGCGACTTAAATCTAATTCCTAACCCATGAGGAGAGGAAAAACTCAACTTCTGAATCTTTCGAGTTTTCTACTTTAACTCCATGAAGAAACACAAGATTAACCAACACCAAAGTATCAAATTTGAAAAATCTCAAAATCTCAAAAAAATAATACCCAAAGGACACATGTATAAAAACCATAAAAATATGAGAAAACATGAAAACAGTCATGAAAAGAAGCTAAGGAATTAAAGCACCGTCAAAAACCTAAAGGAAAAACAAATTCAAACTGTGGGGGGGAAAAATAATGTGTATATATAAAGAAATTAGGTTAAAAATAGGGTTTGGGGAGTGATGGGAGAAATAAAAAAACTAAAATTAAAACAGTCAAACATTAAAAATAGAGGGTAAAAATAGCACCTAAAGGCCATTTTCTCATTTAGACATTATAATCACACACTTTTGAAAATTAGATTTTACATATACATTTTATAGACTAGGAAAATTCTCATAGTGGAAAAAAAGTGTGGCCTATTTCTGATTCTCTCCAACATGTCTCCATTGTTGATCGTTCTTTTCAAATTTCATGTAGTTCATACATTTCCCATTCAAGTCTCACACAAGTATCTGAGAAGCAGCAGAGCACAGCAGTAAAAAACAAGGCTCTGAAGCGAGAAGGGCCTGGCCACTTAGTGTCTAGGAGACCTTGGGCAACTTACTGAGCCTCCTGAAGACTTTGTTTCTACATCTGCAAAATGAGAATAACAAATACACAGAATTGTACTGAGGATTACATCTGTAACACACTGCAATTCTAACTTCATTTCCCACTCTTCATTACAACCTTTACTAAAATCTCTCTCATAGAAATAACTTGTATTAGTCAATGCTAAGGAAATACGGCAGATTTTAGTTACTTGTATTTCAGAAACACTGATCTCAATTAAACCTTCAGTTTCTCCTTTTAGAGATGCTGTCTCTGATATTACATACAAGAAAACGGCCCAGGATGAATGTATTTTCAGGGGGCCCCAAACTTACACATTCTAAGGAACAAACAGGTCATTTATTAGTGTTGCCCTTGACTAGTCCTTCCACCACCATCCCAGACAAACCAACGATGGCTGGTCTAGCTCTCTTGCCCCTTCTTACCCCGATACTGCTAGCTTTCCCTAAAATAAAAGGTTGTCAGAGCCTGAACGGATTTCATAGCAAATGATCAACTCAGCATTTCTTTCTTTCTCTGGCATCATCGAAATACACAAGGCTTCCTAGAGTCACCACAGACATGTTTTTTTAAAACGTGATTTGGCAGATAGGATATATTTGTGAGGATGGGCAGATAATTTGAAACTGGGCTGAAGAAACCAGAAGAGTCGAATGTAGGGCACTCTCCCATGTATCATAACACTTCATTAGACCCAAAGACAGCCCAAGTGCAGAATCAAAGGCTCCTGGCCTAAGAATAAACCAAAATTATCATATTCGCAATCACTTTCTGTGTGATAATGCTAACACTGTTCTAATCTATCAAAAGACTATGCAAATCAACCAAGATCAAAGAGCTACACAGTATCAAGTAGGAAATATGTGTCTGATCTCCTTGCTAGAATAGGAAAAAAGGGCAGGGTTTTATCTGCAAATCAAATGACTTAGAGCTAGTGCAGGCATAATTCAAAGTGTTTAAAAGTTATTTTTATTTCAAGCTTCTTTGGATACTACCATGTTGACTGAGGTTTTGCATTTCTCGTTCTCGACGATCTAATTCGGCTGCTTTTCTTTCTAGCTCTTCCTGGCGTTTAAGCAGCTCAGCTTGAGCCAAGGCATGTTCCTAAAGAAGAAATAATCAATAAGTGATTAGGTTGTTATAAGTATAAAATATAACATTGATATGCTATCTTTTACTTCTCCTTCTACTATGTTAGAAACCTAATTCAATAGTTCTTCCAAAATATAGGAATTCACTATAAATTAGTTTCAGAAACTATTAAGGTATCTCCATTTTGGTCTTTTGGTTATTAAAAAACCCTCAATGGGAATGCTGAGCACATTAGGACAGATAAAAATTCTAAAGGTGGTCAGAGTCCTAAAGTAATTGGGAAAATGAAATTAAGGTGATCTTAGCACCTAAATGAGTGAAAAACAGAGACAAAGGGAAGAGTTGAAGAAAGCAAACAAATGAAGAAAAGGACAACTGAACTGGCTCTTACAAACTGGGTTAAATGGTACATAAGGTTCCCAATGCAAGAATATATAATATTTTACATTTTATAAAATAATGAGGTGAAAGACCGATCTGGTTCAATTCTGGTTTATAACTCCATCTGCCTTTATGTGATACCAGGCATCCTATTCATCTCCTTTTTTCTCATATTTTGGCCACCTTCTACTTCCTGCCACTGTCCCTTGCTTAGCCATTAGAACTCTCTTCCAGTAATATTTATTATTCTGTCATTGTTACTGTATGACCAAAGACAATAAAAATCTCACTCTACAAATTGTACACCAAGATAATATAAGAATCCAATAACTGCTAATAATAGAATAAAACAAATGTTATAAGCTGAAAAAGAAATTAGGAGTACTATACAGTTGACAAGGTAGCTAACCCAGACTCAAAAGTAAAAACTAAACCATAAGGAACATAACATATAAAGAATTACTTTGCTCTGAAATGATACTAATTATAAATTATATATTTTTAATTTCCAATATGAATTTACACACATAACATGAACTAACCTTTGCAATCTGTGTATAAGCTGAAGGATGTTCCTCTGTTGGTTTCATTATTGCTGGTTGTGTGCTGGGTACATTTGGCATTTTCGCATTGCCTGGTGGAGGCTAGGAGGATTAAGAAAACGGCAAATCACATAACATAAAGATCCAACTTTAACTTCTTTCAAAAGGCATAACACTAACACAAAGCAAAGTGCCAGGAACTGCCTCTCTTCCGCCCCTACCTTCTCTAGTCAAGTGGCAAAGATCTGCTTAAGCTCTCCATCTCCGTTTTCTTAAACTTATTCATTTCTCTACTTTTCAATGTGGGTGCTACCTCAAACACTACACTTTGATAATATAAAGTGTTTTATGAGCAAGATTAAAAGGCAAAATCTAAATAATAAGCAATACATACAACAGTCAGTTAATATATTTCATATGTATAAATCAATTAGAAATAAATAAACTTGTTATGGCAAAACATGCATTTAAAAAACTCTCAACAGGTAACTTATAAAAGAAATGCAAAAGGTAAATAAACATCAAAAACTGTCAACCTCATTAGTAATCAAAGAAATGCAAATTTCACCTAATTATTTTTAAATGATTATTACCATGAAATAACCACATTCTGGAAAAGATGTGGTAAGTTGGGTATTCTCACACACTGATAGTGGGAGCATAACCTAGTTAACATAATAATCCTTGAACTCAATTTGGCATTATGTGTAAGAGCCACAGAGGTATTTATACCCTATGATCCATAAACAGCTAGTCTCTAAAAACATGGAAAGGAAATAATCCAGGATACGCACAAATGTTAGTATGCTAACAATGCTCACTTAGCATTATTTATAAAAGCAACAGTTAGAAATAGTCCTAATCCAATTATCCAACAATAGGAAAATGTTTAGATAAATTATAATACATTCATAGAATATATCACGTAGCTATTTACAAGTTCTGAAAAATATTTAATGAAATGGAGAAAGCTTGTACCATTAATAAGTGATAAAAACAAGTTATAAAACAAAACTGTATATACACTATAATCCCAATTTTTTACTTAAAAATATAATTAAAATATATCAAAATGTTAATAGTTCTTATTTCTGGATAGTAAAATTAAAAGTGTTTCCTTGTATTTTTTTTTTTTAAGATTTTTATTGGGGAATTGGGGGAAGGGGAACAGACAAGTTGCTGTTGTTTTGTTCTTCAGTCTAGTTGTGGAGGACGTTGCTT